GGGGGGACAACAAAGCTACATTTGCTACTTATTGTAAAATACTGATCCAAACTGAAGTAGCCATTCCCGTTATACTGTAGAAAAGTTATAGGCAAAAAGTAGATCTGTTTCTTTTCTTTGTCTTTCTGACTCTCTCTCTCTAGTCATGCACAGCTACCGCTCCTTAAGGTTGTTCCTGCGTCCGGTTGCTGGCGGCCATCTTTGTTTTGTCTTTTCCGGGGGGGCATTTAGAGTCATTGGGCGGGGGGGGCTGGCTGGGCTTGCTGCCGGGGGCATGCTTGGCGGGGGAGCTAGGCGTGGCGGGGGGGGCGCCGGACGCTTGGATGTTCTTCTCGTCTGAAAAAAGCTGTTTAATTACGTCAAAGAAGTTACTCAACGGGCTGCCTACACAGACGGGAAGAAAAAGAAAAGAGACAGAGAGAGAAAGAGAGAGAGAGAGAACAAACAACAGATGAGCAATGGGGTTAACATGAGGAGAGGAAGAGGAGGAGGTGATGGAGGATGAGAGGAGGAGTGGAGCCGGAGGAAAGGAGACTCTTCAGCCTGGGGGGAGGAAAGGTTGTGGGGGACAAGGTGAGCTAATGTCACATCTTAAAGTTTAAAAATAGATATCAATAAATATATCGGCTTCAGAGTCTCGGTTTCCTCTGCTGGGTGTGAGAGCTAACGGGAGCTCTGGAAGACGGTTCAGGTTTCATTCAGAGAAACAGAATAAACTTATTAAAGAATAAGCAAAAATAATCTACCTTCATAATGTGAACGGAGTTCATTTCTTTGTGTAAAACAAGCTTTTTACTGCAGACAATCTTGTTTTACATTATTTCAAATCCAAAGTTACGCATGAAGTTCATTTAGTAAATTATGATCCATTTAGATTCAAACAGACCATAAAGCTGCATTCTCTCTAGTGTCCACCAGGGGGCGACTCCTCTGGTTGTATAGAAGTCTATGAGAAAATGACTCTACTTCTCTCTTGATTTATTACCTCAGTAAACATTGTAAACATGAGTTTATGGTCTCAATCTCTAGTTTCAAGTCTTCTTCAATACAGCATGATGTTCATTTAGTACATTATGGTCCATTTAGAGTCACACAGACCATAAAGCAGGGGATGCTTTAGGGCGGGGCTACACAGTGATTGACAGGTTTCTACCAGAGACGTATACGGCGTCTCTACGTCACTCCTCCTTAGTCCAGATATGATCTCTTCCTGTTCACTGGTTGCAAAAAAACAAGATGGCGACGACCAAATCGGCGAACTGGAGGCTTCAAAACTACGTCCACGTCTTCTACTTCGTTTGTGGTGAATAAACTACAAACTAAAGCACTAAAGTTCACACCGATAGAACCAGATGAACATTTCCTGTCGATCTGTTCTCGTTCAGACTAGCTGTGTTGCTAAGCTAACGCTAAGCCCTGTGTTTGCAGCAAGTCTGTAAAGTCTCAGAACTTTTTGGTACATTTATGCTTCCTGCACATAACTGACAGGCCTGTTTTCTCCGTGTGAACGTCTTCCAAAGCTCCCGTTAACTCTCCATCGTATCAACATCCATCACAACAACATCCAACATCCATCTGCTCAAACAGAGGCTTCAAAAACAGTCTTGAGTGAATTAAAACATGCGACAGCACAGAACACACATTAATCATCACTTATCATTGCCGAGGTTAGTGAAACAGAGAGCGTCCCCTCCGCTGTAAAACACGTCGTCCCTGTTTGTTCTGCAGCGATGGATCAGACTTACCATCGCTCCTCTTCAACAACACACACACGCTGCAATTCTGCTGTCTGATATTTAGTTTCAGTGATTTCAAATATGGAAACGTTTCAGGCGGAGGGTGAAGGGGAGCAACCAGGCGTCAAGCATTTATCATGCAAAGGGTCCGTTAAGAGCTGCTCACACACATCCGCACTGACATACACACATCTTATTGAGTCATTCAGTCATTCAAATACAGATACAAATACTATTAAAAACATGAAATAAGAAGCAAGCTGCTGTGTTTTGGGTGGTTGAGGATTTGAGTTTGTAGTTTTTTAAATTTTTCATCAACCAGAAGTTAATAAAGAATAATATCTGAGTGATTCATCAATTCATCGGTTGTTTGTTTTGCATCAACAAACTTTACAACTTTGGCTCCAAAAAGAAACAGAATTGAAATTTGAATTATTATTGAATAATAAAAATGTCAAATCGGGCATGAATGTCATAAAAATGTCACAACAAATGTAATAAAAAGTCATAGTAGAGTATGTCATTAGAAATATTATTAAAAAGTGGAAAAGAAAATAATTATAAAAATACAGTAAAAATAATCTCCTAAAATATTTTTTAAAGTCATAATTAGTTTTATAAATGTCATTAAACATCATAAAAAATGAATTGTATAGAATGTCTAAGAATGTTATAGTACGTCATAAAAGCTGTTTACCCTCTCAGACATTTGTGTCATAATTAACTTATTAATGAATTATTGAGTCCTGACATTAATGTTCAGAGACACAAAGAATTAAAGTCGGAAATTTAGGAGAAAAAGAGAAATCTGATAAATTTGTGAGAAAAAAACTCTGAAATTCTGAAGTTTTCACTTTAACGCACCAATCACCAGGTCAAATTATTTGTATATGTAACGTATTTGTTAAGGTTAACGTATATTTTTTTGCAGCTCACACACACACACACACACACACACACACACACACACACACGCGCGCGCGCGCACACACACACACACACACACTGGAGTTAGTGCAGTCAGGGTGTGTCGGGGCCTCCAGGACGCTGCCAGTGTGTTAAAAGCCTTCAGTGAGTTAAGCGGTTTCTCTCGGGGCGCTCTGGTCTTACCACGCTTGGAGGGTTTACTGGACAAAGAGGCCGAGCGCTGAGAGCCATCTGAGAGCAGAGGACAGCGTCAGAAACACTGAGGCCCGGCGCTGCTTCATCTTCATCATCATCAACATCATCATCGTCAGCTGACATCAGCAGCACAACATTACACTTCTTCTTTGGTTTAAAGGATCAAACACTGAATGTTGAGCTCGTTTTCACACACGTCCTGTTGTTGACTGATGAACTGAACTAGAGCTGCTTTTTGTCACGTTTCAGTCTGTGAACTTGTTCTTCTTCATGGATCAACAATAAAGAGCCAATGAACTTCATTTATGTTCAAGAGTCCTTATGTTCATAAGCATGTTGTCTGAGGAGGAAACGGAGCGTGACTGAAGTTAACTTTAACTCTTGTGCTTCACTTTTAATTCAAGTTGCTCTGATTTCCTTTGAGGACAAAAATGTCCGTAAAAAAACTGCAATAAAATAATGTATCAACATTAGTCTTTCAACCAGCATCAGTCCAGTCCACTCTGTTATTCTTATAATTATATTTTTGGGATTCATAATACAGCAGCGATGCCCCTAGTGGACACCAGGAGAATAACATGTGTTTCCCCACAGAGAAAACCACTCAATCTGGTGGAGGAATAGTAAAAACAACGTTTACAATATATAATTGTGTTGTATATTTATATATATATAAATAAATGTGGTTTTAATGGGTTTCAATGGGACATTTTAGTTCTTAGTGTATTTTGGCTTCATATTTGATTATAGACTTATTATAAGAGCTCAGGTTGAACTTCCAAAATAAAAAAGCCAAAAAGAAAGATTTAGAGTTTTGGTGGAAGTGGATGAGTTGGTCATGTTATTCTGTAAAGAGCCGAGTTTGAAGTCTCACAATCCTTATTAACGCGTGTCCTTTTTTTATACACACAATCATGCAGTTCTGTCAGAGGTGTGAAAAAGTCCTTCCACATGCAGGAGACTGATGATCCTCATGTTAACAGTCTCTACAGAGAGAACATTAAGCAGACAATCACCACCTTTAATTAGCATTCATTAGCATTATTAGCATAGCTGTCATTTAACTGACTGAAGGTTTGACACCTCACTACTTAAAAAGAACAACTTTTAGTCAAAACAGAACCAGATATCCAACACTTCTGGAACAATATGATGAAAGTCTGTGGTCCGTCTAGTGAACGTGGGCCGGTTCTGACTGTGTTCGGCTCAGAGGTTTTGGATCTGAGAATCCAGATAGCAGCATTTTGGTCCGGCTCTGTTCAGGATCATCTAACGGTGCCGATCAACATCATTATCCATCAACTCGGGGGCCGTTTGTTTATGTTCATAGTGAGAGAAAAATCTGGATATTTGACACAGAAGACTGAGAAACAAGCTGAACATTCATTGAGACAGAATCAACCTTTAAAATCTGCTGCTGCATCACACACACACACACACACACGCACACACATACACGTCTGTAGAGCTGTTAGGGGTTTAGGGTTTCATCACATGCACAATCTCTTGTTGTGAGCAAACACCAACACAGACTTTGTTTGTTTGTCACAGTCTCAGGCTTCCATTTTTGGTACGTCAGTAAAGCAGCAAACACACGATCATCAGTGTGTGAATGGCAGCTCCAACCCAGAATCGGCACACACACACACACACACACACACACACACACACACAGAGTTTGGCATCAGCTCCACTGGTTCTACCCCAGTAAGCGAGCCCCGGGTGGGGGGGAGATGCACGGTGTGCACGGTTCTGGGTTTGGCTTTTTTCATTCAACATGCGAGTCGTTAAAAAAAAAGAGTAAAAAAAGCTGCGGATGACAGGAAGCAGGGAGGCGTGGAGAGGCAGGCCAGAGGAGGAGAGAGGTGGAGAAACAAAGACAGAGAGAGAGAGAGAGAGAGAGAGAGAGAGAGAGAGAGAGAGAGATGTGGGTACATCTACAGGGTGGAGGAGGCTGAAGGTCCTGATAACAGTTCCCATCTGGTGCCGCTGGTTTAACTGATCAGCAGCACCCTGAAGCCAGACAGCTCCAGTAATAGTCGAGGTGTAACAATACAAATGTGTTTGTATTGCAAATTCTGCAGCGCGAGTTTCACCCGGAAACCTTTGGCAGCGCAGCAGCTCTCAGGCTTTAGAAGATCTTACGACGAGCCAACGTAACTAATATTACTTATTATAATTACTATAACTATATAAGTTAGCTCTTTATTAAAGAGCTAACTTTATTAGCTCTGTGTGTGTGTGTATGTGTGTGTGTTGTAGTTACTCTGCGTCACCACCAGAGGGAACTATTATCAAGTAAATAACCACAGCTACGACAACAGCAACACTACAGACAGACCTAAGAAGGACAGCTGGAGAACACACAGTCACTCTCTCTTTTTCTTCCATATTTTTCGTAACCTTCCATCTGTTTGATAGGCAGCCCAAAATATCCAAATCCAAGGAGGTTAGTTTATGCAACGAATGTAGTCTGGAATCCTCGTTCGTTTTTCTAATTTACTCGTGTGCAGCTGCGTAAACATCCGTTTTTTCCTGTGAATGTTTCTGCTGAGTCAGACGCTGGTCCTGTGTGTGTGTGTGTGTGTGTGTGTGTGTGTGCGTGTGCACGCCATGGCATGTGGAAGGGGCATGCACGTGGAGATGCCGTGTGCTAAAAGCAGTGAGCATAGCGGAGCGTGTCCGAGCCGAGGAGGGCCGCGGAGGCTGTGAGGAGTGCCAGGATGCCGGGAAGGAGGGAGGCTGTGAGGAGGAAGTGAGGAGGAGGAGGAGGAAGGAGGAAGGTTAGGGGTCTAGGCGGGGGAGGGGGGGTGGCGAGGGGACTCCACTTACCAGCTATCTGGGGCTGCATGCCGGGCTGGTCCGAGCTGAGCAGCTGGGCCTGGATGGTCTCCACCACACGCTTGAACCGTCGGCTGGGACCTGATGAGAAAACATCTTCATCAGGAGAAGTTACAACGAGTCTCTGCATCACGTTCATCATTTATTACAGAGTTCTGCTGCCTTATATCAATAACAATATAATATCGAAGACATAATGAGTAGGATTTGATGTATGGACTCAAACTACAATAATCCCTCTCCATCGTCTGACCACTAGAAGTGTGTGTTGGTGTCTGTATCTGCAGATACTGCTGCTCCTCTTCCTGGATTATAAGATGTTGTTGAATTCATCCCCTGCTTTATGGTCTGTGTGACTCTAAATGGACCATAATGTACTAAATGAACATCATGCTGTATTGAAGAAGACTTGAAACTAGAGATTGAGACCATAAACTCATGTTTACAATGTTTACTGAGGTAATAAATCAAGAGAGAAGTAGAGTCATTTTCTCATAGACTTCTATACAACCAGAGGAGTCGCCCCCTGGTGGACACTAGAGAGAATGCAGCTTTAAGACACTTCTGAACCTGGACCCCGACACACTAGTGCAGCTAGCAGCTGGAAAACTGAAGTCTACCAGCAAACGTTGTGATCGTGGTCCACTTTAGTTTATTGGAAACGTCTCTGATGGAAGCTTTTTAAAACTTCCAACACCGTTGGTTTCTACTGACTTCTACCTGACAGCCAGTGACCGTGTGGTGTTTACCTGACAGCCAGTGACCGTGTGGTGTTTACCTGACAGCTAGTGACCGTGTGGTGTTTACCTGACAACCAGTGACCGTGTGGTGTTTACCTGACAGCCAGTGACCGTGTGGTGTTTACCTGACA